CAAGAGTCTTTATCATCGTCGATGCCCTTGATGAATGCCAAGTATCCAATGGCTGCTGGATGAGATTCCTATCAGAGATCTTCAACCTCCAGGCAGAATGCCAAGCAAGCCTCTTTGCAACTTCAAGATTTATTCCGGAAATCAACGAAAAGTTCAAAGAAAGCATGTCGTTGGAGATTCGGGCAAGTAATCACGATGTGCAAAGATACCTAGATGGCCATATGTCGCAGCTGCCTGGATGTGTGCTTCGCAGTTCGGAGCTGCAAGATAAAATAAAGACCGAAATTATAAAGGCAGTTGATGGGATGTATGTGACTTCTTATATTCTTAGTGAATAATGCTTACACCACATAGATTCTTACTTGCACAGCTTCATCTTGATTCATTGAAAGGGAAAAAATCCCGAAAAGCTATTTATGTCGCTTTGAAAAATCTCCCGACTGGATCCAAGGCATATAACTACGCATACAAGGACGCCATGGAGAGAATTGAAGGCCAGCTTACAGACGAAAAAGAGCTTGCGAAGCAGGCCCTTTCATGGATCACCTACGCAAAGAGGCCGCTAACTACATCTGAACTTGAGCACGCACTTGCTGTAGAGGCTGAGGAGCCACAGCTTGATGAAGAGAATCTATGTCAAGTAGATGACATTATCTCGGTGTGTGCTGGATTAGTTACAGTTGACGAAGAAAGCGACATTGTCCGGTTGGCCCACTATACTACACAGGAATACTTTGAGCGAACCTTGACTACTTGGTTCCCTAACGCCCACACCTACATTACAAAGATCTGCGTTACCTATCTGTCTTTCGATGCTTTTGAAAACGGTTTCTGTCTAACAGATGAAGTGTTTAAGGAGCGGCTACAGCTACATCCGTTTTATAACTATGCCGCACAAAATCGGGGACATCACGCTCGTGCGGCTTCGGCAGAAGTGGAAGCATTAATTCTAGTTTTTCTTAAGAGTGAAGCTAAGATATCCGCTTCCAGCCAGGCGATGATGGCTGCTCAAGGCCATCATTACAATGGCTATAGTCAGAGGGTGCCAAAGCAAATAACAGGAGTGCACCTTGCAGCATACTTCGGACTGGGAGAAGTCATTAGTGCCTCACTCAGAAAAGAGCATGATCTGGACTCCAAGGACAAAGAAGGTCGGACGCCGCTGTCGTGGGCCGCAGGGAAGGGGGACGAGGCGGTGGTTAAGCTACTGCTCGAGCACGAGGGCATCGACCCGGACTCTAAGGACACACAAGGTCGAACACCGCTGTCGTGGGCCGCAGGGAAGGGGCACGAGGCGGTAGTTAAGCTACTGCTCGAGCACGAGAGCGTCGACCCAGACTCTAAGGATTACAAAGGACGAACGCCGCTGTCGATGGCCGCAGGGGGCGGGCACCAGGCGGTCGTCAAGCTACTGCTTGAGCACGAGGGCATTGGTCCGGACTCCAAGGACTGTAAAGGTCGGACGCCACTGTCTTTGGCTGCATGGATGGGGCGCGGGGCGACGGTTAAACTCCTGCTCGAGCACGAGGGCGTCGACCCGGACTCTAAGGACTACGAAGGACGGACACCGCTGTTGTGGGCCGCATGGAGCGGGGACGAGGTGGTCGTAAAGTTGCTACTCGCGAACGATGGCGTCGACCCGGACTCTAAGGATTCCAAGTATGGACGGACGCCACTGTCGTGGGCGGCAAAGCAGGGGCATGAAGCAGTGGTTAAGCTACTGCTCGCAAGGGATGGTGTCAATCCGGGCTCGAGAGACAAATTTTGTCGGACGCCGCTGTCGTATGCCGCAGGATACGGCCACGAGGCAGTCCTGAAGCTGCTGCTTGTAAAGAACAACGTCGACCTAGACATAAAGGACAAGTTTGGTCTAGCGCCGCGGTCGTTGGCCGCAAAACGAGGAAATCCTGGTATTGTGCAGCTCTTGGTTGAAAAGCACAACGAGAATGACAAGCTCATTCGCGAGGAATATATGCAAGTCGTGAACCCTCCAGCAGGTGACCATCAAAACCACATAGATTGCGATGTTTGCATGTTAAGCATTCCAGATCGGGAGAGTCATTACCACTGCAGAACTTGTATTGATGGAGATTTCGATATATGCCAGAAGTGCGTAGCGAGCGGCTATTCTTGTCTGGATTATTCTCACAAGTTGGTTAATCGGATCGTCAAGGATAGCACCATGGTGGAAGTTCCTGATTAGGTCCCTTTATGCCCACGCACGGAGCACTAGCAGGGTGGATACTCAACAAACACATCTACGTTATTGCCCCCTGATCCTATGATATAACTATGCCTTAAGATCCTGCCCTGCCCTTTAACTGAAGGATTCTACTTATGTATTTCTCTGGCCTAATTTAGGAGCGGAGCGCGCAGCGCGACACTTCACACTCGTTTATTATTAAAGTTATCCTACACCTTCCTATTTCGTCCAGGTTTTAGATTTCTAGAAGGCTAGGAAAAGGAGAGAAAATCGTGCGTCAGGTCGGCCCGTGCATCAGATGATAAGAGACTCTATTCATATGCAGAATCTTGGGGCAGAAGTTAGTCACTGATGCTTCCGCGAGGGCTAAAAATGCAGTGCAGCGCGTCAATTCGAAAAGTGAGGCAAATTGATATCTTCCAATGATGATTGGTTAATCCACATGTAGTAGAAGTGTCACAAGCGCAGAGCAAAACGGCTATGTAATGATTGATTGGTCGATCTGTCTGTAATGGAGATTGGCATGTTTGACTGATGGTTCAGCGATCGGTAAAGCAGTGTGGGAGGATGCAAATAACCAGTACACTTCCATTATTTCCTGTGCTCGTTTTCATTATTGGGAGACAAACAATGTACAGCGTTTGTGAAGGAGAGCGGAAATACCGATACTGGGAAATTCATTCAGAAAGGTTATGAATTAATAAAAGAAAACTTCAAAAACGAATTGCGAACTTACGCTTCTCTCTTTCCCTTCTCCTTCCGAGAAAATTCCTTTTTTTCTGACGAATTGCGAACACGTAGGTGTCTTGTAATGGGGTATATCCTATTATGCTATGACGAAATATTCCCAATCAGAATTCACTCTCATTGCGTTCTTCCTGCTTACCTTTGAAGATTTCCGTGAAGAAGAAAGCACGTGATTAATGCTTTCGCGAGGGCTAAAAAAGCAGTGCCTCCAATTCCATCAGATAGAAAAGAAATTTCTAAGCGAATGCAGCAGAGCCTCAGTACAGAGCCTTGGCGTAAAATTTTTCCACCATCACACTCATTTTCAGCCTTGTCATATAAGCACTTTGCATAGTCTTCCTTTCATCAACCGTTATCTGCAGGAAAAGGTAGTATTTGCTACACACATTTTTTCTGTTTCCCCCTAAAGCTAAGGACGCAAGACATGACAAAAGGATTCAGGAGAATTGGGTTTTTCCCCAGAAATGAATATATCCTTCCATGTAAGTTAGGAAATACTTTCGTTGGAATTGGATTATATACATCACGTTTGGTTTTCTCGGTTTGTTGCGCTCGGCTCTCCCGCTTTTGAAAGAGCAAGTCCGGGTGAGCGATGAGCATGTGAGCGATGCTTTTGGGGGTGTTAAAATCAGTGCAGAGTAGATTAACTGCAAAACCGACTTGAATAGCCGCTCGTTCCTTGTATTCATGGTCACTAATAACCTCTTAGTCATGATTGGGTGGCTTGTATGCAGTGGAAAGTGGGAATGCTGTACGGCTGGGTATGGTGAATAGTTCTATCATGCAGACGGCGTGCCTCAGCATCTGAAGACAACCGAAATATAGTGAGGGTGCTTTCACAGACGCTTAACAAGCAGTGCAGTATAGCCACCAGCCCCCACGTCCGGCAAGAATTTCACAGCCACAGAGTCTTACCGTCGAAAAAGGTCACTAATAATTCCGCACTTTAAAAAATAGTACTCCAGATCGCAAAACGGACCTTATGGTTTGTAGTCTTGGATATTCTATAACTCACAGAGCCTTGGTCGTAGTATACCCTTCTGTTATTATCCTCGTTTTCGGCATCGATGCTATCTCACGAAAACTCTAACAACTCGAAAAGGCTAAACTCCAAACCTATCAGTTTGCCCTTTCACCCCAGTTGAATTGTTAGAGCTTTCTTGATTCGCTCCTTTTCTTTCATGTCTCTGTTTCCACAATACTGCACCATGATTCGGTTACGTTCTCCTTTTTCAGTCCTGTTACGTTTAACTCATCTTAGTATTTAAAGGGTTGGGTGAATTGTAAGCACGAGATAATGCTTGCATGGGCGCCAGAAAAGCAGTGCAGGTATTGTTATCGTGGTCAACGATGACTGGTTGCTTTGTATGCAGAGGAAGAGCCAATGCTCTAAAAAATTTCCCGGTGGAAGCCGGTGACTTGATGCTTCCGCGAGGGCTAAAAAAGCAGTGCAACTGGAGTTTGCCTTATTCCTGCTGCCTGATTATGGTTCGCCAAATCACGACTTCTAATAGAAGGAGCCAAGTAATGATCATGTGATTTATATATGCAGAAGATATGCCACGACACCATTAACTGCGACATAAACAGGGAAATATACAATTCTGTAGATGCTGAAAATGCAGTGCAGCGTAGTTTCCTATCTCTCTTACCTCTAATCTGATGTTTTGGTAGAGTCCATGCACCCGCAGAGCCTCATGGTAAAAACTTCCGTCATGTATCCATTTTCTTAGCTTAGCGAGAGAACTATACAAATATGTTGACGATGCTTTAAAACTGGGGTAGCAAATGCGTTTACGCTTAAGGGAAGTTCAAGAGAGGTCGACGATTGAGAAAGGAGGTGATATTATAATTCATAGGCTAGTAGCGATTTGGAAGGGCAAAAAAAAAAAAAAATTCCCAAATTGAAACTTAGTAATTCCACAATTCTTAAAAAATCTTACCCCTCCTCCCTCTAAAATGCATAGCCAAAAATGAAAATATGAAATCCCCTCTCCCCCCCCCAAAATTAAAAACAAATAGAAATAGGAAGGAAGTTAAGGTAACTAACTGGGGTTGCTGAGACTCGAACTCAGATTAACACGGCCACAACGTGTTGTGATACCCTTACACTACAACCCCTGATAATCTCTAGGTTTTACATTAATTAGCAGGTCTTTGAAATTAAATTATATATATATGGAGTGAAAAAAGTAATACACATAAGGAGAGAGGCGTGGGCGGGACGCGGTGAGAATGGGTGTGGAGAAGGGCGACTCATGAGTTTGGGCGAACCATGGGTTTAGGGGAAAGTGGCCGGGAAGAATGGCAGATACTCCATTTCTAAACTTTTCGGGCGAGGAGATACATTGTGTCTGTAGTATTCGTATAGTATTTTATCACACCCTTAAATACGAACAGGAAAGCTATCACAAAATGGATTCAGGAATCGCAGCCTAACCGGAGTTTCTTAAAATATATAAGGGATTTCCTTCATGAAACGATGTCATTATCTATGCAATGAGATGCACTTCTACGTGGGAACTCTAAAATATGTTCTGCTAGCGGCGATGAGAAGCATGAGGTACCACAAGGTTCTACATTGCTCCTGGAACGGAGAGACCGGAGAGGCGCATGTGCTGTATCGCTCATCAAAGCATTCCGCGCCATAACATAAGTAAGGGTAGACGGAAATATCGAGCTCTGCTAACACTCGATACAACTCGATTGAATCACTTCCAACCTTCCTCGCCGTATCATAACGTCGAATACCAATATGCTATTGGCCATGCTTGTGCCGACCTGAATTCCGTCCAGTATTAGACGCTTCGTAACAGAAAACCTCACCCATTCCGGCCCCACCTCCTCTCCGCTTACGCTGTGCCTTTGAGCTTCACAAGGTTTTCGTTAATGATAGTGACACATCCGATCAGTCGCCAATGCTTATCTATCCGACGGCTCCAGGCGACCTTCTCTCCAACCTGCGTGCATGCCGGCGCTGTGAGCGCAATCTGTGTAACATCTGCTTTGAGATCGTGCCGCTCATCGTTGAGCTTCCGATATTGACGATGAGAGTTTCGTTCTTCTGGAGCTTGTCCATCTTTGCCTGTTTCCCGTCTGCCCTTACGCCCAGCAATCTCCGAAGCAAGAAGAAGTTGAACTGTAGCTGATCGTACGCTGATGTCAAGGAACGGCGAAGACCGAGAACTTAGCCAAGGAACCGGTCGCCACGACATATAGTAGGATCAGTACGAGTGCCGACCCCTATGAGGCCTCCTGGGACTGCGAATTGAAGCGAGTTCGACTCGGCCAAAAGACACTCGAATCGAGAATATATGGGCTTCCATTGTTTCCTCCCTAAAGTTGGATCCAGTGTTACTATCCCAGGTCGAATTACGATTTCATCGCCGAGCTTGAGGACGCCTTGGAGAATACTGCCACTCGCAACTCCTCCTTCAGTTCGTCCACCTCGGACCCGGGTCGATTGTGTTGGCGCACATTGGCGCATTGCAAGGCTTCCACTGCTCGGACGTCTTGGCATGACTCTGCTAGGGTCTTGGATGACTCATTGGTATTGCTGCCTGCTTGGGAGATGTGTATATATTTCAGTCCTTGCCACCCTTCTGAGCATCTTCTTGCTCATGCAATCCATTATGTTACTTGCCCTCTTGCCTGTCTTCCATCAGACTGATATCAAAGGAGTGGATTACGATCATCCTTGGTGTGGCAGGGAAGTCGCGTATCGGCGTGGGTATCTGCACTAGGCTTTTAAGGATGGCATCGATATTGAATTTCAGTTGTGCCGATGTTGGGACAACTGGCGAGTGGCTGGCTAGGATGACATGGATGAAACTCTGGATAGATTCGCAATGTTGCTGGGCAGCTTCTTGGTTGATAAAATCGACCTTGTTCTGGAGAATTACAATATATTGAGCTTCATAATCTCGATTGCTGCCAAATGCTTAGAGGTCTGTGGCTGAGGACAAGACCCGTTGGAAGCTACTAGTACTAAGGCGCCGTCCATAATTGCCGCTCCAGAAAGAATGGTGCTCATCAAGATGCTACGGCCAGGGCAGTCGACAAAGGAGACATGCCTTGTGAGTCTGCATGTGCCGTTGCACCCTTCCCTCTCACATTTAGACTGGTAGCTTGCCCGCTTCCATAACTTTTGTAGCAGATTGATCATGGACATTACTCGGTATCACATTTATAGATCTCCGCATTGGCATATCCAAGTTCAATGGTGATATCGCGTATTTGCTCATTATTGAACCTGACCGTATTGACAGTATTGACCGTTTGGATCGCTATCACGACTGTGCTCTTTCCATGAGCTACATGGCCAATCGTCCCTAGATTGATTGTCACCTGATTGGATAAATCTCGGGGAAAGAGGAGTAATCTTCAAAACATCGATTAAGCATGGTGTGGCTGCTCGGGAGGGTTGATGAATCCATCTTGGAAAGAAGGCTGGAAGGAATATCGTAGAGACACCGCCGCTCAAACGTAGGTGTAACTGAAGGGTCTTCGGTTACTCTGTAATAACGATAATTTAGTTGACCGGCTGGAAGGAAGAGGACGCCCTATTTTTAAGCATACATACATGACAATCTTTAGCTTTTAACTCAGTGGTCGGGATATCAAGGGTGAAAAAACTTTGGTTTGTAGCCCGCTACTACTGTTGCGCTCAGTAAGCCTTGAAACATACGATGTCAAGAGGATAGAGCGAGAAGAACAAAGGCAGAACAAGCGTGGGTGTTGTGTGATGAGCTTGTGAGCCACATCTAACTGGTGGGTCACTGTGACATCACGGTCGAGTCGAACTGGCACTTACCCAATAGCATTTCCCAGTTATGCTGCTTAAAAATGAGACTGTATTCTTTTCTTATAAATCTGACAAAAAGTAGCGAGGGACATAAAGGGAAAAGAGGAAGGGGGAAAGAGGGGAGGAGGGGCAGTAAAGGATGCGCATTTCAAGTTGATAGGGAAGGTACGAGGCATGGGTTTAGAAAGACAACTTTTAGAAAAGCGATCAGATAATGTACTAAAATTCCGTTAGTCCGATTTTGGACGGGGGAATAGGTTTTACACTGGAGGAGTAACATACTCTCATACCCACTATATTCCAAGTGCAAACGGAATGGACACTATAAATAGACTCAAAGGTAAAGGTATCTGATCTTAAAAAGTTGTATTGAATACTCCAATGTGCGTGCTCTAAATTCAAGCCCATTCTGATTCACTGAGATGATAGAATATAGCCTGGATAAGGAGAAGCCAAAGAGACGCAAATGCTAGAGATCTGGTTCCTTGCAATTTGATAAGCAATGTTTTGCATGATAGCTCGGCCGGCGTCTCACACATCCTAAAGCAATTCTTTAATTCCCCTCCAGCCGTCCCGGCCTGAGTAACCACTCTCGAACCTCGATCCCATGGCTCGATCAATGTAGCCTCTGCAATGACTTCAATGCCAGTCTGATGGATGAAAAATAGAGATCTCGATAACCGGCAGCTCGGCGCTTGTGGCTTGGGTGCGTAATACAGGTGCGAACGATAGCGCCTTTGCACCATTGCCTCACTTTGTTCCAAGATAAATCGGCCTTGTCCAATTTACGGATTCGCCAAACAGCTGATTATCTTTCTCACTTCCGGAACAAATTGCTCTGACTTCCCCACAGGGGATTCGGCTGGAACTCATTGTTCGGTTTACTCTGCAGTTCTCCATCAAACAGCGGCGTTCGGTCATCATCCACACTGCTCGGCGGTACCCTCGTCTCGCCCCTTATAATTTCAATCGTACTGATAACCGGCAGGGTAAGCAACAGCATTGAAAGCAGCTGTCCATAGCTCCAATCCTTCTCGCTAGGGCCCTCTAGACGGACGGAGTCAGGCGCATGGCCAAAAGCCTGAGACACCAAAATGACGCGAATCGTGGCACCAACACCCATGGCGATCAGGGCGAAGAGACCGACGACTTGGATACCTTTGAGCCATTTCGGGTTGTTGCGGTTGTGCAGGTACCAGGTCGAGAGGACAAAGACGATGACGTTTCCAGCGATGATGGCAATGGTGCCGACGACAGATAGTGCGGCATTTGAGGATCCTTCTCGAGAGCTAACTTCCCAAATACAGCCGATTGGGAGCCGCGGCTCGAGATTCTTCATTACGGACTGCAGGACGAAGATGCCGGTTATGCAGCCGAGGATCAGGTTGATGAACATAAGGAATTGTCGCAGCCACCGGAGGACCCAGTCGCGCTTGAAGTCATTGACAAGAGCCAGGAGCGTCGCTAGATTCGTCGCCGTCGAGAGTAAGGACAACAGCCAGATGATGAAGAAATGATAAGGGACCATTGTCTTCATTTTCGCGAGACCGACAGATTGGATGCCAATGCCGGTTATAATTTGCTGGTCGGAGAAGGAGAGGAGCAGTTTGCGGCATATTGGCGCAGAGGTGGATTTCTTGAGACCGAGGAGGATGATGATGGCGCTGAGGGAGAGGGAGAGGAAGTTGGTGATTATGAAGGAGAGGAGGACACCTGCACCCGCGACGCCCGCATCGGTGTGAACGGTGTCAGGCACCACGGTGCAATTTCCACCGTCAAACATATTGAATTCGCAGACGCAGAAAATGTACGCTAAAGGAGAGTGGATATCGTTAAAAGCTCACAGCATCAAAGACGCAAAAAAAGGAATGTCAAAATGTTGGAATAAAGCTGGAGGTTGAGGTTAAAAAGCACAGCCTCTCATGGCCTATGTCATCGTACAGTCTAAATAAAGAGATTGGCGAGTGTTAACAAGGGCTGAAAGGATCGACGTTCAAAGAAACCTGCTCCAATCGCTGATCTTTGTCTGATTGTCTTGATGCCCTGGTGTGGCTGAGCGCTTAACTTGCGACACGCCGAAACTCGCTTGGTCCTCCACTCAGCGTCTTCACTTACTTGTTTAATAAAGACGATAGATTTTAAAGAGTTAAATGCTTTCACTATTGTGTAGTAAGTGAAGCGAACATGCAGAATCGCGAAAGATGCATATGAATGGAAGTCGATTGTGGCGAAGCAGAGAGCACATCGTCATTGCTCACGGAAATTGATATCGGCTGTTTCGCATGGAGTGTACTGTGTATGCATGCAATCACTTCGG